CCATTTTGCTCAGGAGCTAAAATTACGTTGCCATTCTGCTTGGTGCTAGAGGTTCTGTGCTTGAAACCTGTTTCCCACATACAAGGAGCCAAGGTTATTTAATTAGAATGCTGAGCCAGAATGAAGAGTCTGGCACTTAATATAGAACCTGTAAGCTAAACGGGGTCAGCAAGTATAAGGTCTACACATTTGGAATTAACTATCCATCACTGTGGAGACAATATTTGAGCAGACTGGCTTTGGGACATGTTTAACATCGTTCCTCCCGGGTCTCTACTGAACTCTGCCTCTGCAGCTTAAACTGCCCAAAATCACAGTTCTGACAATTGAAAACACTGAGTTAAAATGTGCTCGAACTTTCACTCATTTGTTTTTGCTCTGCCCTCTGGAGCATGTCTGCTGTCTGCTCTGTGACTGCCCTTGAGAGACTGAGGACAGGGACACTGTCCCCACTGTATGCTCTTCTAAAGCTCAATTGTCCCAGGTTCTTATATGACAGGTAATCAGGCCTTTTACCACTGTGGTCACTCAGTTTGTCAGTGTTACCATCCCCGTTTTAAAATGAGTTTCTCAGAACCTGAAATGATCCAGGTGTGGTTTGATCAGTGGAAATAAGCGGGTCTCTTTTGGACATAAACTCTCTTGTTGGATATGATTCTATTAGTGCTTTCCAGGGGTATATCACCTTTCTGTTATCCAGCACTGATTCATAGTTGGCTAAAACCACCAAGTCTTCTAAACCATACGTTGGTATTGAGGCAATTAGCCACTTAGACCCAAATACAGGATCTGAGATTTGTCATCATTACATTTCATCATGTTAAATTTCCCAATGCTTTGGCCTGTCAAGAGCCTTTTTGTATCTTGAATTGATCCTCTCCATCCACAAATGTAATCAGTCTATGAATATTTCTATTTTTATATAAATCAAAGTTAAAAAACACCTGACAGAAAAGGCCTCAGGATGGAGCCCCTCATCTACTACCAGAGACCTCTAATCAAAGTATTCATTCAACCCTCCCTCCCCATACCCAACACACGCACCTCCATCTCAACTGTTCCATCTTCTAACTCAAGTTGTCAGGGAGGGAAAACATTAATGAATATTCCAGGTTACTAACTGGCTGGTTAAAGTAGCCTGGAAAAGAAATGAGGGCGTGAATAAGACCTGGTGAAGGGCCAAATGTGGCTGCACAGAATTCTGTGAAGCTACTTTATGTAGGTCCGTACATCAGCACAGGTTGGGGCAGTATCAAGCCTGAGTCAAATGGAAGGTAGTCCAGGGTTCTGCTGTGATGAGAGAGAGAGAAAATCAATAAACAGGAAACAGAACCAATGCTGGAATTAGTCCATCAAACTGACAGAAGAGAACAGAGACAGGCAAGGGTCACAAGGACAATGAAGCAAAGAATGAGCATGTAAAACAGAATTAAGGCATGCTAAGTGGGCTCCAGAGCTCTGCTGTCCAATATGGCAGCCATTAGCTACAGGTGGCTATTTAAATTTAATAAAAATTAAGTAGAAAATGCAGTGCCTCAATCACATGAGCCAAATTTCAAGTGTTCACTAGCCATGTGTGATTAGTGGCTACCATATAACTATTGGTTATAGTAGTTATAGAAAAAGTGTAGTTATAGAAAAGGGCAAACCAGGTAGGACATCATTTAGTGTACTTATTTTTCCTTTAAGACCCTGTTCAAATATCAGTTCTTCTGGAAATTTTCCCTGTGGTTGGTCTGTAATTATATGCCACAGGCAGCAGAGCACTCTGAACTATGCAGAGATCTAGGGAGAACTTAGTATGGAGATCCTAGCCCAGCTATTTGTCAACTTTTTTTTTTTTTTTTTTTAAGATTTTTATTGGGGAATTGGGGGGATGGGAACAGTGCTGGGGAACTGGGGGAAGGGAACATACAAGTTGCTGTCATTTTTGTTCTTCAATCTAGTTGTGGAGGACGTTGCTTCACTGGCCCAAGTTGGCACCGTCATTGCGCTCTTCCCTGGTGAGACAGATCAGTCGCCGGCTTCTGGACGGCCGCTCACTGCGGCTGCTGGCCGCTCACGCTGGCTGCTGGCCGCTCACGCTGGCTGCTGGCCGCTCACGCTGGCTGCTGGCTACACACGGTAGCCCATGGCAACCCACTGCCAAGGGGGCTGCAGCCTACGCCGTCGCCGGTGACTCACGGCAGCCCAGCTCCAGGTTGAGCTGTTGTTCAGCATCTTAGCTGTGGAGGGCAGTGTCACTGGCCCTCCTATGTGGGATCCGAACCGGGGCCCTCTGGCATCCCAAGCGAGTTCTTAACCATCGCGCCACTCGGCCGGCCCTATTTGTCAACTCTTAACCCAAACATGATCTTTTTCTGTCTGAGGAAGGTATCCTCCTTGACAAAGCAATTATTGATTAGCTTTGGGGTTAAGACATGTGCGGATGGAGAGAAGAAGAAAGGGAACACTGGCCCAGCCAGCTACATTTGTAGAATCCACCTTTGTAGCTGTAAAAGTGATTTGTAATAAAAGATTTTGACCTCCTGTCCACAGACATCACATAGGCCATCTAGGCTAGGCAGTCAAGAAGTTGAAGTCAAGGTCTGATTTGCTTGATGTAAGATATCTTGTCATCTTACCTGTGGGCCCTCACTACATTTTTCAGTCTGCCTCTTTCTCTTTTAATTTCCTGTGCCAGAAGGTCTTAGAATTTCTCATAATAAGATCTACCAATTCGACCTTCTAAATCTCTTTAGAATCTATCCCTTCCTTCAATGCCCTCAGTTAATTTATCTTCTTTTCCACCCAGCCCCTACACTGCCGCCTAAATGCTCTAAGAACCTTACCTGACCATGACATTCTCCTCCCTAAAACCTCTCAGTGGCTCCCCATCACATCATAGAAGCCTGTTCCTTGGGCTCCCAACTTCCTTTCTGGTTTCAGGGCTTTCCACTCCTTGATGTGTAGCACATGTTCCAGTCTCCCTGTTACCCAGAACCAAGATCCCCTCTCACATTTCTGTGCCTTTGTACTTGCAGCTCCACCTGTCTGAAATGCCTGCCCCTTCCCCCACCTTTATTCCCCCTGGGGAATTTCTACACCCTGTTAAGGTTCCATTGAAATCTCATCTCCTCTGAGAAGCCTACCCTGAGCTCTCAGACAGACTTAAGTGATCCATCAGCTGTGAACAAATACTGTGCAGGCTTTGGTCATAACACATCCTGTGTATGACACTCATGGGTCTGTTTCTCCCACTAGACTGTGAGGTCTCAAGGGCAGGCAGCACATCTGACTCATCTCTTACCCCCAGTTGAAAAGCACAGGACTTAACTCATGACAAACACTTGCTAAATGCCCGTTAAAATGAACAACAATCTGTGCCATTATGAAGTTCTGCTGTGACCAAAACGAAGGCCATGAGGATCCTCTGTGTGGCGTGCTGCTGCCATGCTCCTTGGAGTTCACTCACCCTGACAGAGGCCTATGGATAAGTGGCCCTGGTAGTTGAGGATGTGGGGAAAACCAAGGGGCCTGTAGCTGTTCCTGCTGAAAGCCTCACTGCACACTGGCCGTTTCCCCAGCAGGCATTGCAACCGGCACAAACCTATTCCTTGTTTTTGTATGTATGAGAAAACACAGGACCCCTTGGAGAATACTCTTGTAGGGATCCATATGTAGGTAACTCTATGAAGGGAGTTATGAGCAAGAAGGAGAAACCTCTTAGTAGAATGGAGAGGGATGAAATATTGCTACTCTTACATAGTTGGCGAGGGAATGTAGAGGCCAATAGCAACAACTTTTTATGTTTTAAAATGTACACCATGCCTTATGGTTACCAAGACACTTTCATTTCTGTCTTCTTCAGCTTGTTATCCACCCTGTGGGGTGGGCGAGACAGAGCTGGGGTTGTTATTTATAGATAAGGAAACTAATATCTGAACAGGGGAAGTGACTTGCCCAAGGTCACCTTCTGAGCAAAAGCCCATTAAATGAAGCAACTTTCCCAGGGTCTTAAAGTAATAAATAGACCTATAACATGGAGCTTACTTTAAAAAATGTCCACTGGATTTTCTTTAACACAATGTTTAAAATTAGAAACATTTTCTGGTAAATTGAGTATATAGAAGGCTTTCAGGCATCTCTTGGGAAATTTGACTAGATGACATTAAAGATTTCTTCCAGCTATGAAATTCTATAAAATTTAGTGTTTACTGTGTCCTAGGCTCATGTAACTCCATAAAGTATAATTATCAGCTTGCATGTAATTTCCAAAATAAATAGCTTTCTTGCCCAGCCCAGTATCCGTCTGACTTGCCAAAAAGTCTCCAGCACATTACGTACTTATTCCATCACCTAGTCATCAATCTAGTCTTTTCACTCCTTCTGCTCCCTGCAACATACCAACTCTATTACTTGATCAATTACCTATTTCATCTGTCAGAAATAACTAGGATTTAGAGCTAGAGGCATAATTTCTCTATAAGACTAGAAAGCAGAACTGTCGTCATGTATTATTGAGATCTCAATTTAATTCCCATTAAAGGGGAATTAAATTGAATGGATTAGTGAAAGTTCACTCTATTCATCCCGCCTCTGAGAGATGACTAAATCCAGTTGGGTGCCATATTTGGTAGTGGACTATGGGAATGGAGTTTTCCACAGGTCAGAGTAGGTGTGTCATTTTCTAGAAAGGAAAATCTGCCTTGGTTGGATGGACCAAGTTATTTAAGTTTTGTCTGACAAGATTCTCCCTAGCCTCCTTGCGTGAGAACAAAGTATTGCACACCCATCTGAACTGGGTAAAAACAGAAGCTAATAGCAGCTTTGTGGAAATAGATACCCTACCTATCTTTTGATCCAAGAGTCCAGGCTCTATCCACTGCACCACATACTCTGTAGGGTGATAGTTGCTCCTATTAGTTAATGTTTCCTGAGAAGTGAAGTGAACTGTCCAATTTTAATGATAAAGGCTATATCAATAATAACATGTAACATTCTATTTTTGTTTTTATCAGGAAGTCCAAGAAGTCAAGAAGAATTATGGGTAATTCTGGGTGCTGCTGGAAGTCTTTGAGGATGGCTGTTCTGTTGGGTGTGTTTTAATTTCTCTCTTGATTACCAAGGACATTGTGACACTTAAATGTTAGAGTAAGTTGTGCTCTTGCTGATAGGGAGCGGGCTCATTACAAAGTGCTGGGCCAGGCCTGCCACCTTCTTTTCTTCCAGTAGAGCATCAGACTTTGCTATGTGACCCCCACACAGGTGTCTATCATGGCTGAGCCAGGCAGGCTTCCTTAAAATGAGATGAGAGTACTAACAATAAAGGGTGACAATACAGAACATAAAGAAGCACAAAGGAAGTCTTCATACTCACATTGAACTTGCCCAGGATAAGAGGTCAGACAATTAAGTTCATGAACTTGTTGCAACGATGTTGCTAACCTTTTTTTGATACCAGAGGGATTATTCATTATGGATTTGTACCAACTGAACAAACAGTTAACCAAGTTTACTATTTGGAAGTGCTGAAAAGGCTGCATGAAAAAGTTAGACAATCTGAACTCTTCACCAACAATTCATGGCTCTTGCATCACAACAATGCTCCAGTTCACATGGCATTGTTTATGAGGGAGTTTTTAGCCAGTAAACAAATAACTGTATTGGAGCACCCTCCCTACTCACCTGATCTGGCCCCCATTGACTTCTTTCTTTACCCGAAGATAAAGGAAATATTGAAAGGAAGACATTTTGATGACATTCATGACGATAGCTCTGATGGCCTTTTCAGAAAAAGAGTTCCAAAATTGCTTTGAAGGGTGGACTAGGCACTGGCGTCGGTGCATAACTTCCCAAGGGGAGTACTTCGAAGGTGACTGTAGTGATATTCAGCAATGAAGGATGTAGCACTTTTTCTAGGATGACTTCGCGAACTTAATTGTCCAAATTCATATATGCTGATAAAGTCAGATCTGAGCATATCCTCAGTTCCATCTGTTAAAGGTGCTCACAGCTGCTTAGGAGAATGCCGAGCAAGAAAGACATGGCAATACGTTTTCAGCCTGTTAACATATAAATACTTCCCTTCTCTCCCCAACCTGGCTAAAAATACAACCAAAGTGTCACAAAAAATACAAAAACAAAAACTCAAAAACGAAAGGCAAAAACCCCCACACAAAACACAAAAAAGCCTAGCATTTTTTTAGCAGATTGTGACAATATCAATCAGCTACATGCTTGGTATGCAAACATCCCCAGTGCTAACTCACCTTGAGGAGGACCTGGGGGGAGAAGGAACAGAGGGTGTCAGAGAATTAGGGAGCAAGGCAGGCTGCCTCCAAGGGAAAGTGCTGGAGCCTAAGCTCATGACCTAGTTAACAGGTGAGAATGATGCAATTGTTGTTGACATCTACCTAGTGGCAGCAATTGTGGCCAGAGGCACCTCTACCTTGATTGATTAAGGTGATGATTATTTACTGAGTGTATATATATACCTTGTGCCAGGCGCTCTGGCAGACACTGGGCGCTGAACCATGTGGAAGGTTGCAATTCATCAGCAGTGGTCCTTTTGGGCAGGGACTGATGTAGACTATTCTAATTCTAAACTCCAAGTCCAGGAGGTAGAATCTGCTGGAAGCAGGGAGTTGAAGTTTCCAAACAAACAGGACTAATGCATCATGTAGGTTTTAGTACATATTCTATGCCAGAGTAGGTAGCTAAACCTCCAAGGGGTAAAGAAATAGCAAAAATAGAAGAGGCTAGTCTTCAACTAGAGATGTCTTTGAGAGTAGCTGATATGAGTAACAGTGGCAGGGTAGGAAGTGAGTTGGGTCTTTCCTCTGTTCCTTCTGAATCATAAGCCACCCACTACAAAGGGCAGTTTGGTTTTAGGATAGATTTGGACGTGATCTAGAAGTTCTGTGAAATTAAAAGAATTCACAGATGAGTTATATAGGTCTGCATTTCCCAAGATGTTGGTATGCATACCACTTCAGGAAGTGCACATAATTGTAGATGAAACACCTTACTTTCTAATAGTTCAGTATTTATTTTAATGTGCCTTAGAAGAAATATAATTTGTCATACCACAAACCTGTGATTTCACAGGTGATATTGTTGGTTTTCCATTTACAATGCTGTTATAAAATTTCTATTTTAAACACTTTTAGTAAAAATAAATTTATTTCAAGAGAATATAAAGTATATAATAATACAGAAGATGTTATTACAAGAATATGGAATGTAAACAATTGGAAAGTTTGGGAAATACTTCATTAAGCCAGGGGTGAGGTAGATGGACTTGTAGACAGAGATTTTGGAACACCAGACAGGTGAAGGGAAAATGGTACATGTCTCAGAGAATTTGGATTCCAGTTCCAACTGCTACTAAACCTGTGTGACAGCTGCCTCTCCCTGGATCTCCATTTATTTATTGATAAAATAACTAATGCCTTGCCTAGCTTTACTATCTAGTGGTTCTATTTCACTTATTACTAGCAAGATTATGAACAATCATAATAACAGTGCGTTAAGGTCTGCTGTGTGGCAGATGTTTCCATACGTCATCATTCTTAATTCTCATTATAGTCATGAAAGGTAAGTGTTATAATGCCCATTCTATATATGAGGGAATTGAGGCTGGAAGATTTTACATAACTTGCCCAAGGTCACACAGAAGGCATATAGCCTTCTAGATCCAAACCACTCAGCTTTGCCACTTACTAGATGTGTGTCTTAGGGCACAATTTCAATGCCTGATGCTTCAGCTTCATCTATAAAATAAGGATACCAATGTACTTACATTAAAGGATATTATAAAGGATGTTCAAAATGAATTATATACAAAGTGCTTAGAACAGTGCCTGGGATATGGTAAGCAGGTTGAATACTGGCTATTATTATTTCTGTGAAATTAATAAAAGGGGAAAAACTTAACACTGCCATAAAGTGAAAAAATACATAACACTATTATATACATATAGAGGCTCTTCAGTTTCCTAACTCTACCTGTTGACCAATGCAGAATCATTCCAAGGCAGTTATGAATAAAGAGAATTATAGCCATAGGACGCACAATATACCCTTCTCTATTCACTTCTATGGCAGCAGAATTATGCACCTCACCTCTACCCTAAGAACATTTGGAAATATTGATATTAAAATTATTACACTGTATTATATTCTAAATTTCAGATTTACTTGTTGTCTATCACCCTCAATAAGGCTGAGTTTCTTGAAACAAAGAACTCCTGTTTAATTCTTCTGTATTTCTCCAATTCTTAGCAAAGGGGCTAGCCAGAGACAAACGTTCAATAAATGTTTGCTGAATGAATATTGTAGAAAAATGGGTACACGTGAACAATAAAATAAAAAATATGATGTGATATTTACCATACAACAAGTGTTGCTTATGGCTCAGAAAGGAGAGATCACTTCTAGGTAGGAAAAGGTAGTAGGATGGATGGTTAAATATGTGAACTTTAAAGTCAGACAGCCTTGGTTTTGAGTCCCAATTCTGGCACTTATGTGCTTATGTGACTCTGGGATAATAACTTCTTTAAACAATAATTTCCTTATTAGTAAACTGGGGATGACATTAGTTGGAAGAACTAAATAAGATAATGTATGTAAAATGTCAGGTACCCATTATGTGTTTGTAGAATGGCTTTCATCATCATCATCATCATCATCATCATCATCGGCTTTGTGATGGAGGCACTCACTGTCTGGATGGAAAGACACTAGGGAAGAACACTGAACAGCCAGGAGGTGTGAATAAAGGTAATGTGGATGTTAGAAAGAGTCAAGGCTGAGTAGGGAGGGCAAGTAGCACTGTTTAATTGGAACATTGGGTATTTTCAGGAAAGTAGTGTTAGAGAATATTGGGAAGTTGGCTTTAAATGCCAGGCTGAGAAATTTAGTCTTCATTCTGCAAGTAATACTGAGACTTTACAGGATCCTAAGCAGGATGGTGACCAGTTCAGAGCTAGCTATAGGGGAAATATTCGGGCCGTAGAGGATGGTCTGGGGAAGGTGAAGGGAGATGAAAGCAGATACACCACTTAAGAAGATTTACCAATATTTCCAATGAGAAGTTGAGGTTCCCCTCTCGGCTGCTGGTGTGGGACAGGAAAAGAAGGAATGAGCATTGAGGACCCTGGGAAGAAGGAACTCAGAACTGTGTCCAACCGGATATGAGAAGCAGAGGGAGGAGGCAGAGCCAGAAAGGTCTGAAGGCTTCTAACTGGGTGACCAGGAGCATGGTACTCCTGTTCTAGCAGAAAGAAAGACTTCAGGGGAGAGAGAGCCTTTCTGAAGTCTGAGAACATGTTATCTGTATGCCTACAGCAGCATCTGTTTTAGCAGAGACAGACTCCTTTATCCTACATCAACAGACTGTGAGAGAGGGAAACAAGAGTTATTAAGAACTTCCCACTTAGGAAAAGAAAGCTTGATCCACTCTTTGAAAAGATTTCAAACTCTTTGAAAAAGTATTTTTGTGAGGAAGGAACACTAAGAAAAAGAAGCGTACAATATCTTCCCTTTCTTGATTTTTCCACCCAAATGTACTCAAGGAAAATGCCCAGGTACATCATTAGAACGCTCTAATGATGCTATTAACACCACCCAAGTTTATGGCACTTCTTGTTGCACAGTGCTTTTCATTTTATAAAAAGCTCCCATGATCTCTTTTATTCTCACAAATCACTGTGAGGTATTGTCTTTTCTCCATTTTACAAGGGAAGAAACTGAGGATTGGAAAGAAGTGAGTGATTTTCCCCCAAAATTATACAGCCAGGAAATGGTAGAGTTTTCACATGCCTTGCTGTTTTTAGTACATGTTTTCAAATACCATTCACATGGTCTTTATAGTATAACACTCTAGGTACAGAATGACAAACCGAAGTGCAGCAGGACTCTGATCTCCGTGGTTTTAGGGTTCTATAATTTTATCAATATAGCCTAAAACCACATTACTTTGGGGCACCTTTATCAGGTCATGTTTGTGACTAAATAGTACCCAGTGCTCCCTTTTCGCCCCATGGTAAAGAGCCTTAGGGCAAAAGTTCTTAGCGATGTGCTTCCTTCCGTCCCACATCTGCCCAGTTCAGTCAGGCCTCTGAAATGCACCACCAAGTCCTCAATGCTGAAACCTGCTCCAGGTACGTCAGGAGTTAGGAAAGCAATTCTTTCCCTCGATATCTAGTTGGTGCTATTAGGAGAGCCAGACTTGGAGGCTGATGGCTCAGGTTCCAGGCTCAAACTACCAGCCTAACTCTGTGACCTTAGTTAAATAACTCTATACTCTGAGCATCCGTGTCTTGCTCTGAAAAATGAGGATAATAATAGCTATTTTATGAGTCTACTGCAAGGATTCAGTGAAATACTTATGAAAGTAGGGCCCTGTGCTGGGTTTCATTTTCTTCTGTAGCCATCTTGAAATTCTTAATGATTTTTGAAGGAAGAGCTCTGCATTTTCATGTTGCACTGGGCCCTGCAAATTAGGTAGCTGGTGCTGTCTGTGCCCTTGGTCACGTCATTTAACCCTGTGGGGCTTTACAGTCTAGAATGAATTGAGCTAAATTGTTAGGTTGATTCTCAATCCTTCTTCTACTTATTAGCAAAGTTTGACACAGTCGCTCACCCCCTCCTCCTTGAAACATTTTTTTTCCACTTGGCTTCTAGGACACTAAACTTTGGGGTTTTTTCCTGATCCTTTGCTTTTTTCTCCCTACTTTATTAGCTTGTCCAGAACAAAACTCCTGAACATTTCTTGCAAGCCTGCTCCTCCCAGTCTTTCTCTTCTGTTCGTTGTAACTCCATTTTACCTATTGCTCAGACCAAAACCCTTGTCATAGTCTTTGACTCTTTATCTCTCACTCAATATCCAATTTGTAAGCTGCTCTAGGATCTGACCACTTCTTCACCACCATCATCACAGTTCAAGCCTTAATCATCTCTCACTTGGATTACTGCAAAACCTAACTCGCCTCCCTGCTTCCACCCCTCCCCTTTGCCCAGTGGCCTACTCTCCACACAGTTGCCAGAATAATCCTTTAAAAATATAAGCCAGGTCGCATCACTCCTCTGTTGAAAACCATGCCATGACTATGCATCTCAGAGTTGAAATCTCCACAGGAGGTATCAAGCTACCTCTGTGAACCCACCTCCTACCACTCCCTCACCTCAGGCCATTTGTTGATGCCCCTCTACCTAGAATGCCCTCCCTGATATCAGCCTGGCTGGCCCCTCACCTTCAGTTCTACTGTCCCCACCATCAGTCAAGCCTTCCCTGACCACCCTAATTAAAATAGCAACCACCATCAACTCCTCCCCGCCACCGTCACTCCCCATCCTTTCATTCCCTGCTCACTTTTCTCCAAAGTACTCATCACCATCATACATATCATATTTTATTTATTTGCTTATTGTTTATCTCTCCCCATTAGACTGTAGGCTCTGTAAGGGCAGGGACTTTTCTAGCTTCTATATCTCCAGCACAAGAGCCAGTGTCAGTGAATGACAGAAAGTTCTGGAACAGATGATGACATGACTACTATTAAATCACAGCTGCATCAGCCCCTCTGAGTGTATAAAGCACTTTCACAGGCTGCATGCTCATGAAGCTGGCCCTGTACAAAGGAGTGAGGGCATTTATGGGGACTACTGTGGTCCAAGCCTCCCCCTAGACTGTACTGTGGAGATAGAAAGGTGAGTGTAAGAGTGTGTGGCCTAGAGGGAGGTTTCACATATATATGCAAATAACTCTAGAATAAGGCAGCGTTTGTTAAACATATCCAGTGTTTAACGCCTACCATCTCACATTCTGGCAATGATTCTAGAGTTTTCTACAGAGAGAAGGGACAGTGAACTATGGCTTGTGAATTTACTGTGTGGCCATTTCTGCCCCAGACAAGCTCCTGCTCTGGCCTGCTTATCACACTCCGGACACCTTGCCTGACTCCCAATCTAGTGTGTTCCCCACACTGGCCCCCTCCACCCAACATTGCCCCCTAATTAACTGTTAACTTTAGACCACACCCTCTTATAGTCCCTTCACATTGTGCTTCTAGATACAAGGAACATGAGGCAGGGGTAGGATCGACTTAGGAAGGTTTCAACAGGGTATGAAGAATCTAAATATTTCCTTACAGTAAAGATGTATATATCTCTCTATGAGCCTAGATAGTACGAAGAACTCAGGGACTACATCCGTCCATCTCCGTAGCTTGACAGCCTTGCTCAGTACATGGTACAGAGTGGGCATTCAGTAAAGTTTGCTGAATCGTTGATCTGGGTGTTATAAACTCTGAGCAAGGATAATCCTATTTAAGAAGTACTTTTGCATCTTCTATGAGGTGCCCCAGAGGTATTCTATGAGGTTATTTTATTGAGCTATCAACCTCACCAGTAAGAATGAAAACATTTCATGCTCGCTTCCACAGCACATATACTAAAATTGGAACGATACAGAGAAGATTAGCATGGCCCCTGCGCAAGGATGACACACAAATTCGTGAAGCATTCCATATTAAAAAAAAAAAATTTAAAACACCTCAGATAAAGGGACCAATATTTAAAATGCAAGTTTAAATTATAAAATGCTACTATTTTATAATTTTCAGTTACTTTTAATTTGTATTTGATTTTTTAAAAATCCTTTATCTGAAAATCCAAACAATACCAAGAGATAAATTACAAAGCATGCCTTTCATTCCTACAGGACTCCTTTGACTAGGACTCCCTGAACTTATCTGAAATTTAGAGAGAGAGAAAGACTTATGAGAAAGAATGGGGAACTGAGAAGCTTAAAGCTAAAGCATTAGGATCTGCTCATTAAAAACGATGTTAAGTTTTGGATTGGTATTTGTGTGTTTGTTATGTAATTCTCAATACTTTTCAGTGTGTTTGAAAAACTTGCTTCTCTCCTATGTTCACATCACACATACATTTTCATACCTAGGCAAGATCAAGCATAAAAAGATAGCCTGTCTTATAATCAGTAAGAAATATTTACTGACTACATACATTAGTTATTGCTGCCAGCAGTCAGTAAGAAAATTTGGGACAGGTAAATCCTTACTTGGTTCTCAGTTTCTCTGTATATAAAATAGGGGGAGAGACTAGATGGTTTCAGGGGACCTTCCAGTTCTAATGCCTTAGGAGCCTAGGGAAGCAGAGATACTTATTCACATTATAAAGGATTCCTTTCAGATTGTCTCTGTTTCTTGAGTGAATTTAAACTATGACTTGCTTTTCAAAATTTGGTTACTATATTTTTATTATTAATAAAAGCAGCTAACAAGTAAATTCAACCTATCAGGTACATAAAATGCTTTATATGGATTATTTGTTTTAGTCCTCCCAATAATCCCATGAGTTAGATACTGATATTATCCCCACGTTGTAGACAGGTAAACTGGCTCCATGACTAACTTGCCTAAGGTCACTGAATTATGGAATGTGGCAACACTGGAATCCAAACTCTCTTCAGTTTAATCTGTGACTCCGGAGCACATTGTTAACCCTGCATCTCCCAGGCTGGCTGCCGACATCAGGAAATGTTCAGTGTTCCTTTCTTAGTTGAACAACCATGGGTTTTGCCTTCACAAATGGGGTGACCGGTTGGAGATGGAGTGATTCCTTTGGTTTCAGCTTTATTTCTATGACATAATGTGGTGATATTTTCACTAGGAAATGTTTTTTCACCTCCCCTGGATGAGTAACAGCGGATTTCACTAGTTATTCTGAGTCACTTGTGAATGACTGGGTGAGCAGAAAAGCGTTCAAATTTGCTTCGAATTCCTAATTTGGTTCTTTATGTCCATTATTTAAGTCTATAACAGCAGACATAACAAGACTTTACGTTATTTTGCAACAGATTAAGGTGGAAAAATGCCACATGCAGGAAAACAATGTAAGATTAATTTCACATCTTTATAGCACACTTCATAATTTTCACATTCACAAGAACTTGTGTGAGGTAGGCAAGTCTGGAATTATTTTTACCTGCTTTGCAAATGAGGAAAGAGAGTCACAGAAAGGGCAGGTGACTTATTCTAGGTCATGGAGCTGGTTAGATTCTAGACCTAGTGGTCTTTCTACACTATGCCACCACCATATGTAAAACGGAATTTCAGACTCAGGCACTTCTTTTCTTGGCAGACAGAGCTAAATGGCTGCTATACCAGAGACTGTGCCATGCTAGGCTGTGGCCATGGGGCTCCTGTATAAGTAGCAACTGTGCTAGAGGGTGAGAACATAGCAGCAGCAGACATGCCTCCTACTCACACCTGTGCAGTGTGATAAAGAAAGTAGAAGTAGCCAGCAGCTGTGGTCCAACCAGATAAAACTTTTAGGCGGGAAGTCAAGTGACAAGTGAAATCGTGTGTGTGTGTGTGTGTGTGTGTGTGTGTGTGTGTGTGACTGTTAATTGCTTTTGATATTTTTTTAAAAAGGCAGTGTGAGGAAGTCAGACTAAATAGCAGGAAGGTATTGCAGCAAGATGGATTTGGGAAAGGACCAATCTCATTTGATGCTCCACCAGACACCTGATCCTCACCAAGAAAAGAACCATGTTCCAGGTAATGAAAAAGACCTTAAGAGGTAGTGGCTGTTGGGAAGAATTGGGGCTATGATTATTTCCCTCTTTTATATGGATCTGGCAAAAAAAAAAGGGCATGATTGTGTATATTCATATAATCGTAGGTGGGAAGAATTGGGGTAATCCTGAGGTGCCTTCTAGTGCTAAGACCCTAATAAGCCAGAGAAACAATAAATCATTAATAAGAAATATATTTAAATGAAAGATAGTGAAGATACTGAATTCTGCATGGTTGTGGTAAAACAAGCACACCCATATACTTCTATGGTAGCATAAATTTGGTATAACTTTTGGGGAGACATGGCAATAGGTAGAAAGAACTATAGTGCTTATGCTTTTGGTTCAGTAATCTTACTCATTGGATCTATCCTAAAGCAGCATTTCTCAAAATGTTTTGCAGAATCCTAGGTCTTGAGACAGTGTTTTAAAACTTTTTAGTGTCACAGGTCCCTTTGACATTCTGATGAACCCCTAGACACCTTCTTAAAATAAATATTTTAAATACACAAAATTAAATATGTAAGATTATAAAGGAAACAATTATATTAAGATACAGTTGTCAAAATGAGAAATTGTGTTATTGTAATATATGTGCTTATATATGCATTAAATAACAAGATCCAATGGTGGATCTAATAATAATGATCAAATCAAATATATCATCTAAAATAAATATTTTAAGGTATCTGCAATAACTGTAATGTAATACAAAAAATATGTAATTTCTGCTAAATACTACCATGGTTTGGTACCTGCATTCATAATTGAAGAAAATGGTAATTTTAATTAGAGATTTGTAAAAATAAAGGTATAATTTTTCCCCATCCAAGTTTACCATTAAGAACAGAAGGTGTCATGGTCCAAGGGGCATGTTCATCTTTTGGGGGTCCTACTGCAAATTGGCTTTCACTCCATAGGTTCTAAGAAGTTCTACATCAAAGACTCATTAACTTTTCTCAAATTTGGATGGCAACAGAACCTTTTTTGATGATACCTTTAATATTCCAAAGAACTTGGAGAAACACCATCTCAGGAAAAAAATCCAAAAGAAAAAAAGCTGTCTGCATGAATATGCTTATTATAGTTTGATTTACAATGGCAAAAAAACAACTAGCAATAACCTACATGTTCAATACAAGTAGAATGACTGGGTAAATGAGAATACATCAACATGATTAAGTGTCATGTAGTCATTAAAGTTATAATTATGAAGACTAGATCATGGAAAATATTTCTGATACAATGTTAGGTTAATGATAAAATTGTGGCATGCTATCAGTGCAACTTTGTGTAATATAGGAACTAGATAAGTATGAGGAATAAAATGAAAACAGGTATAATGTTAAGGATGACAGAACATGGCTGATTCTTTCTTTTATGTTGTACAATATATAAAAATTATTTTGAAAAAAATTAATAGCTTGGTAGCACACTTACATACAAATACTGACCTTTTCGTTTTAAAATGTTTACTGTTTGCTCCCAGGCATTTTTCGGAGATATAGGATAAATAAGATAGAGTCCTTGTCCTTAAAAAGCTGGGAGAAGAATGTAGACACCCAACAGAGATTCTACCACTTTGCTATAGGACTCTTGCTGATAAATGCCACAATTCCTCACTGTTGCCTATAACTTTTCATTTTGATCCTACAGAAGTCATTGGAACTTGGAATTTGCGAAACAGAGAGCAACTCAGAAAAAGAAAAGCTGAAGCACAAGAAAAGCAAACTTCACAATGGCAATTTGGGTATGGTATCCTTGCGAGGGAAAAAGGAACTGATATTTATCCAATACATGCTATGTGCTAAGTACTGATAAGCAGTTTCACATACTATAGTTTATCTTTCCAACAATCCAGTAAATCAGGAGCTGTTATCCCTATTTACACAAAAGGAAAATATCCAATGGGTTAAATCTCTTGACTAAAGTCACACAGCTAGTAAAGTGGTGGGAACAGAATTTTATCCCTGATCTCTTTTAATTAAAGCACCAGGCAATCAAATCATACTGTAGAGGGGTGTGGTTAGTTCAACCACTCTGGTAATATAAACAGAAGCATCCTGTTTGGGGGACTGGGGGACACCCCCAAATTGAGGAAACCTCTGAGTTTGTTCTCCAAGCTTTCTGTTAGTAATCCTTATCAAATGAGTGTGATTAACTCTCCATGCGGTAACCCAAAACATTGTGTAAGTGAGTGACTGGGGAGTTTGGGAGTTCCTAAATCTCCAAAGTCACCTGTCTGTCATCTCAGGGAGGGAGTAGAAGAACATGATTGTGAAGTAAATTAGGCAGCATCCAACTGCATCCATTTAGAATATGACTGTGAAAACAGAGGTATTGCTTACTTGGAGATGGAAAAGGGGAGCCCAAGGACCCAAGGAGCGCAGCATCCATTCACAACCAGGGCGTCTCCACCTTGGCACTATTGATGCTGTGGGCAGCATCTCTGTGTGGGAGGCTGTCCTGCATTGGGGATGTTTAGCAACATCTCCGCCTTCTACGGACCAATAGCACTCCCCCAGCCCCAGTTGTGAAACCAAAAATGTCTCCAGACGTTGCCAAATGTTTCCTGGGGCAAGCAGAGGGGATGAAATCGCACTTTGTTGAGAACCACTGATCTAAGCATTCTTCTTAAGAAAGGATATCTATCCCCATATGGACTGACTACTGTCTGTTCTGTTCCACCAATTAGTTTACACATGATTGGTAAATAGGAAAATGATGTCAGTATAATGTGGACGTTGTATTGATTCATGATTTTTCCTAGTCAAATGAGCCAGAATAGTGGGAATAGAATTAAACCTTTAGCAGGAAAGCCAAAAGCCTTGAGGTTGGCTGCTGTATAGGCAGGGTCCTTTTTGGCCTGCATCTGGGGCTGTTCCCCAAGAGAAGAACACCACCAGCCTTGCACAGCTTTACACATGTACGGATTGTACTTTCTCCTATGCCCAACTTAACGGCAGCCCTGCTGGCTCAGAGTGCCACTCTTATTTGCATGATCATAGCAGCTGAAAACCTGCATTTACACTGCTGCTTTTGTGCAGTTTTTGCTATCCCCGAGGCATCCTCCAGTCAGATCTATCTGTCTGGACTACCCAAGTTATCTCAGATATCAATAATTGTTTTTATTAATGTTAAAAAGTTGCATAGGTTTTGAGTCGTTTGCCCAAACTCTCTTTTTCCTTGTAAGCTGTTAATTTTAGTACATAATTTTGCAGAAAATGAGGTTTTTCAGGAATGCGTATATTATGTTTTAGCAGAGACTTCTATACTCAGGTCCTATGGCAGGTGACTCTGCTAAAGCGTATCCAGTTAGCTCCCCTAATTCCATACCCGCCAAGCAACCTTCTGATCATTACTTGGCTTCCAAGTACTTGCTACAGAATAAGAGTACATTTGTTTGTCAGCCCAAGCATTCTCTGCTGGGTGACTTTGCATTTCTCACTGTTCATTTAAAAATCCGTCTTTAGGTTTACATATCAGTCTCTCTGAGCTGGTTGCTGAGCTCTGCCCCTGATAAATGGAGCTAGTCTGTGTGTGCTGATAGAATTGGGTTTCTATGTTTGCTGGGCTAGGGGCCAAGGCTGAGGAAGTCACTGAAGTAGATGACACCTTGGTGAGCCTCTTGGCAGCTGGCTGGCCTTGCTCTGGTGACACATTTCTATACTACTGAGGGCTGTTCTCACTACAGCATACCACACAGTGAAACCTTAGTTGTTCCAGAAAGAAACGCCAGAGTATAATGGCTAAGAGCCTGGCTATTAAAGCCAGAAGGACTAGATTAGAAGCCTGGCTCCCCTACTTCCTAGCCATCTGACCTTGGATGAATTACTCAGCCTCTTTGGGCCTCAGTTTTGTCATCTGCAAAATGGAAATAATAATAGTATCCATTTAATAAATTGATGTGAAGATTATATAAGTTAACAGAATAAGGAAATTACCTAAAACAGTGTCTGGCACCTAGGAAGCATTATATGTGTGTTTTCTATATGAAAACAAAAGTACTACTTTACATTTGGATAATTCATTCATGTAAGTTATTATATGAAATTCTTATAACAACCACATGAGGCTGGGTAGATACTATATACTCCATTTAACCTGTGAAGAAACCAAGGCATGGAGAGGTTAAGTGACTTGCCCATGATCACATAATTGATAAGTTACAGAGTACAGATTACATTTTAGGCCACATAAATATTTTTGTATCTTTTGAAAAATCACCAGGAAAAAAATGGAACATTATATTAGTCAGATTCCCTCATAACAAATTATTTAGGACTTAATACCTAGGAAAAAAAATTAGTGTTTCCTGAATTATTCAGATATACCATCTTTTTTTTTTTTTAAAAGATTTTTTTATTGGGTAATTGGGGGGATGGGAACAGTACTGGGGAATTAGGGAAAGGGGAACAGACAAGTTGCTGTCGTTTTGTTCTTCAATCTAGTTGTGGAGGACACTGCTTCACTGGCCCAAGTTGGCACCATCATTGCGCTCTTCCCGGGCGAGGCAGATCAGTCACCAGCTTCTGGACGGCCGCTCACTGCGGCTGCTGGCCGCTCACGCTGGCTGCTGGCTACACACGGTAGCCCATGGCAACCCACTGCCACAGGGACTGCAGCCTAAGCCGTCGCCAGCGACTCACGGCAGCCCAGCTCCAGGTTGAGCTGTTGTTCAGCATCTTAGCTGTAGAGGGCAGTGTCACTGGCCCTCATATGTGGGATCCGAACCGGGGCCCTCTGGCATCCCAAGCGAGTTCTTAACCATCGCGCCACTCGGCCGGCCCTATACCATCTTTTTTTAATCTGACAATAAATACATTATAATTTATCTTGTTACTATGGCACTTGGAGTTATACTTCAAAATGCTAAGGTGCCATACCCTCATTTTAAAATTATTTTTCCTTCTATATTATTTGTAATATTTATTTTTGACTGACCTATTACATATATACTTTTTAAATATTGACTTCAAACTGCTTTGGTGAGGCAATCTCTACAATTTTTTTTTCATTATGGAAAAGTTCAAACATACAAAAAAGTAGAATAGGGTTTATTTATTTATTTATTTATTTTACTTTTAAAGATTTTATTGGGGAATTGGGGGACGGGAACAGCATTGGGGAATCGTGGAAGGGGAACAGACAAGTTGCTGTCCTTTTGTTCTTCAGTCTAGTTGTGGAGGATGTCACTTTACTGGCCCATGTTGGTATTATCATTGCGCTCTTCCCGGCTCAGGCAGATCAGTCGCTGGCCACTGGATGGCCACTCACGACGGCTCTTGGCAGCTCACACTGGCTGCTGGCCACTCATGCTGGCTGCCAGCCACTCACAGTAGCTCATGGCAGCCCACTGCAGCAGGGGCTGCAGCCTATGCCGTCGCTGGCGACTCATGGCAGCCCAGCTCCAGGTCAAGCTGTTGTTCACCATCTTAGCTATAGAAGGTAGTGTCACTGGCCCTCATGTGGGATCCGAACTGGGGGCCTGCTGCTCAGAGCTGGTGTCCCAAGCCAACTCCTAACCAATGCGCCACTCCTAACCCAGGTTTATATTTTTAAGTGTGCAGGGAACTATGAGCACTGCAAAGATGTAAAAGACACTGACTTTGTCACTAAAGAATATCTAGTTTTCTAAAAGAAATAAGGTTTCTCCAGAAATAACTACAGATTGAGGCAGCCGATGTTCTTTGCCTGAAGCATGATCCTCACAATAAAGGCTATAGGAGCACGAAACAGGGAGAATATTTCAGCCCTCTGGTCTGTAAGAGAAGAAGGATCCATGAGGCAAGTAGCATGGGACAGAATTTCCATAGGTTTAGAAAAATGATGAAATGTTTATTTGTAGTACCTTTTTCTCCCTCCAAACTCATCTGTATTAGCCATCTATATTTGGTTATATTTGCAGTACCTAACAATTTGTCATTGGCTGCAATTTCCATGTATATCCTTTCATCTTTTAGATCTTTAATCTAGGTATTAGTTCAGAGTAGATATGATAGGACTGCTCATGCCTTTCCACCAGGCTTCTTAACTTCAGTAAATGTTCTTTGCAGCTTTTGACCCAGCTTACAGTACATCTCATTTGACATGTCTTGTAGCTACTTAGCATTCTGCACACAGACACTGTATTAGATAAGCAAGCCATATACATCACCTGCCTGCAGGAGCTGTGCCTGGATTGCGGGTCTAGAAATGCAACTATATTAATTTACCCAGGGCATAGTGGGACTAACTCACTCAGATGAAACCCAAAGAGACTAGTGGATAAACCAGAATGCCAATCTGTTCATTTATAACATCAATTATATGTTTTCCATAACCCAACTTTTTTTTTTTTAAGATTTTTTATTGGGTAATTGGGGGAAGGGAAACAGACAAGTTGCTGTCATTTTGTTCTTCAGTTTAGTTGTGGAGGATGTTGCTTCACTGGCCCAAGCTGGCACCATCATTGCGCTCTTCCCAGGCGAGGCAGATCAGTCGTCGGCTTCTGGACGGCCGCTCGCGGCAGCTGCTGGCCGCTCATGCTGGCTGCTGGCTACATACGGTAGCCCATGGCAACCCACTGCCACAGGGGCTGCAGCCTACGCCGTCGCTGGCGACTCATGGCAGCCCAGCTCCAGGTTGAGCTGTTGTTCAGCATCTTAGCTGTAGAGAAGTGTCACTGGCCCTCATATGTGGGATCTGAACCGGGGCCCTCTGGCATCCCAAGCCAACTCTTAACCAATGCGCCACTCAGCCGGCCCTCCATAACCCAACTTTAAGTACATGCTCTCAAACACACACTATACTTCCTGGTGAGCAAGGCTTCAGAGACAAAAAGTGTCTGTGGGATATTTCCTCTGTTGACAGTTGAGAACATCTGGCACTGCCCCTTTCATTTTACAAACAAGGAGATTGAGGCCCAGAGAGATTAAGTGACTTGTTCAAGGTCATGCAACAGTCAGGGAGAGACCAGGACTGTTGTTACCAAGCATTTATCTGAATTCTGTAGCCCTATCGCTGACACTAATTCTGATCTCTCCACAGAGAGAGAAAACAAAAGCGGCAGAGAACAGCAAAAGGAAACCAAAGAGGCAGAAAGAGACAACAAAATACAGAACTGAAGGTGGAGCCTCTGTCACAAGTAGAACAAGAAATGTTGGAGGAAGCATTGGCACCTACAGAGAAAGACACTGAATTACCTAGGAATGTAACCGAAGCTTTCCTTCCGATAGTCTCTCCCCAAAGAGCTGTACCTGAGGAAAATTTCCCTGCAGTAGGTCAAGAAAGCATTATACATCAGGGAAAATCTCCTGAGTGCCAAGAAATAATACAATGCCACCCTTCTGAGATAGGCCAAGATGTGGTTGAACCTGAAGGCCTCTCTCCTAACATGTGCCAAGAAACAGCTGTAGCCAAAGCCCTACCTTCTCAAACATCTGAAGACACAGCTGACCTGGAAGGATGTTCTCTTGATGCATACCCAGAGCCAGATGTGCCTAAAGGCTATGCCCTTGAGACATACCAAAAAAGAGCTGAGCCCAAGGAATACAATGCTGAACCAGGTCAAGGAATAGCTGAGACTGAGAGCATCCTTTCTAAAACACAAGAAATAGCTGGGCCCAAAGACCATTCTACAAAACCATACCAAGAAATAGTTGAACCTGAACACATTTCTCAAAAAGCATGTAATGAAATTGCTGTGCCTATAGCTCTCTCTCATAAAACCATCCAAGAAACATCTGTTCCTGAAGAATATCCACCTGAACTATACCAAGGCACTCTTGGGTCTGAAGAATGTTCACCTGAAATATACCAAGAAACACCTGAGCCCAAAGACTGTGTACCTGAAATATACCAAGAAATATCTGAGCCTGAGGACCTCTCTACAAAGACATATAAAAATAAGGATGTGCCTAAAGAATGCTTTCCAGAACCATACCAAGAAACAGGTAGACCCCAAGGCCAGGATTCTGAAGCACACCAGGAAGATGCTAAGGATGTTTATACTTTTCCTCGAGGTAGGGATTGTTTATAGGGGATAAGTCAGTGACACCGCCACTTAATCGTGTTCCCATTTATAATTAGAGCACCAAATAGGTATGTCTCCCTCAGAGTGGTGTTTTACAGACTTCTTTGACTAGGTTATTCCCAGTGTTATCAATGGGTATCATTAATGTCATTGGCTAGTTTTTCATTCAACCAATGTCTGTTTGGCATATTTCCAAAGAATTAAAAGACAACAATTGAAAATATAAGTGTGTATAGTAGGTACTTGTACATACTATCCATTTTGGGAAGCTTTAGCCAGTGGAGAGAAATGATCCCAATATAGGATGAGTTATGTGTAAACATTTTTAAAGGACACTTAAATTTAGATTTTTAAGAAAACTTGATGACTAAAGTTTTTCTTGAAAATTAAATTTTCCTAGCTAACTAAAGGCAAGTAAATTCATGGTTTAAGGTACCAAGGGATATACAAAGGTGTAAAATATAATCCCTGTTACTGGGGAACACATTCTTGTAGATTTATCAGGTTTACCAAAAACTCTTTCTATTTCAATATTTGTTCCTGAAAAGCTTCTCCTAAGCATAGCGTTTTGAAAATAATGTGACCTTTCTTCAATCGGACTTGCCTTAGGGACATAACTGAGAACCTCGATTCTCCTTGTACAATACTATGGACAGTACTGTAAGAAAATGTACTGGGACTATGAGACCATAGTTATCCCCATGGAATTGCTTTCTAAAGAACTCTCTGGTAGTTTATTTGCTCTTTCTCCTAAAAGATGAGTGCAACAAAAACATGGGGTTAGTAGGGTGCCAAGTACTATTTTAACAATCTTTGCCTATCTACTAGGTTAAGAAATAAAAACCTCATTGTTGTAATTTCCACTTTTTTGATGACTAATGCTACTTGGCATCTTTTCATGATTTTTATGAATTTGCATTTTTTCTCTTGAAAATTGCCTGTTTTAATCCTTGTTCCATTTTAAATTTGGGATAGCAATCTTTGTTGATTGATTTAAAAATCTCTTAAATAGTTATTAAGCCTTTACCTACATATATGTTTTAAAATATTTTCCCAGTTGTTGCTTGTGGTTTAACTTTGTTTATAGTGGTTTTTGTTATGTACGTGACAAAAATTTAATTTTTAGTTATTTAAATCTGTTAATCTTTTCCTTTATGTTTTCTGGTCTGTGTTCTGCTTAGAAAGGCCTTTATAATCCTAAGATTATAAGAACATTCTATTGTTTCTACAACACTAATGTTATTTTAATATTTAAATCTTTAATTCATCTGAAATTTGTTTTTATGCAAGGTGTGAGGTAGAGGGTTTTTTTCTCCAAATGGGTAGTCAGTTGTCCCAATACCATTTATTGAACCTATTTTCATATTTTATTTGATTTTACAGAAGTGAAAGAGAAACCCAAAGCACAAGAACCAGAGATGCCAGCAATTCTAAATGTTCCTCAAGAGAGTCACCCAGAAAATGACGTCTATAGTTATGTTTTGTTTTAACAGTGCTCAACCATCAAAGTTGTCCAACAAAATACACATCTTAATATATTACTGTGTGATTTTCTCAAAATATTGTAGCAATCTCTACAATCTTTCTTAATATTTTAAGTGTTTTTTTCCATGTATAGACTGTATCTTGAAAAGAGAACCAATGTGTTTTTTTCAGGCTCTACCACGTAGAAAATATCCTGCTTGTGTGTGTGTTTGTGTGTGTGTGTGTGTGTGTGTGTGTGTGTGTATTGGGGTGAAAATAGTGGTGGGAAAAGACAAAAATAGGAAAGGGAAGGGCTCAATAAGTTTTCCCCCGAAGAACAAACATTTCTTTGATTACTTATTAAGAGGAGAAAAACTTACACATTTGAACATTTAAAATTTGGGGTAATATATAGTTTTCTTGTAAAGTTTATTCAGTTATTAATGTAACAATAGCATCAAAAATTTATTCAGGCTTTAGTTGGCTTTTTTAGTTAATTTTAACAATTCTTTTCATTTTGGGATTCTTTCAAAGATATTTTGGAGTGATAAATATAGTTTACTTATGTATTTGAGTTTTGATTTTTACTTTTTATATATTGTATTTGTGCAAAATGTATATTAAATCATTATTACATGCCTAACTGTGTGGACCACATCATGGTAAGCATTTTGAAGGTTAGAAGACCTATAACACATAGTCTCTCCCCATCAGGGATTTAATTTAGTCTCTTGGGGGAATAAAACAGAAAACAAATAATTACAAAAGAAAATAGTAAATGCTAGTGTCACTTGAATAATAGATATAAAAGAGAGAACACTCACTTTTTTGCTGGAATGACCTGAAAAAATGACACAAGTGGAGCCTTGAAAAATGGAGATTTGTATTACAGGTGAGGATAACTGTATTATTGTATGTGACATAGAGAGGGGGATGCATTCAAGACATTCAAGATGTTGTTAATTCAGGGTCCATGTGGAATAGGTTAGTAGGCTAAAAATCTTGTATTATTCGAATGTACAGAATTTTGCATACTTAACTAAGAAGTGTATTACTTGTTAGGGAATGGAGAACTAAGTAAGACTTTTGAACAATGGAGTGGCAATTTTAGTATTTTAGGAATATTTGTCTGCTGATAATGGTAAGGATTAACTGAAAATGAGAAGAGACTGTGGACAGGAGTAGGAAACATTCTGGGTGGGAAGTGTGCAAATCTCCTCTGGTATTATTTTGGGAGGAGAGGAGGCATTTTCAGTTTTCTTTCTGTTGTTACAGAGGACTCAAAATAAAGGAGATTCTTCAAATAAAGGTTTGGTTCAGTAAGGGCACAATTGTGCAAGCTTTCTATATAGGCATTGTGTTAGGTATTAGGCTACAGTTAAGAACAAGATAGGATCCCAGTCTCTCAAGCATTCATGGTGTAAAACAGTGGTTCTCAACCCTCATGGTGTATTTTTTTTTAAGATTTTATTGGGGAATTGGAGGAGGGGAACAGCGTTGGGGAATTGGGGAA